AACGTTGCATCTCGGGCTCAAATGGATGGAATTCGTCCAATTTGACCAAAAAAATACAAACAAATAAAATCTGACATTTTTTGACCAAGTAAGTGGAGGGTAAAATAGTAATTTTATAATATTACTCTATAAAATAAAAAATTAAAATAACAAAAAAAAAAAGATAAAAGGAAAATGTTACCTTTTTCGATTTTCCACACCCAATCGCACATCTAACCCAAACCAGAAAGGTCTTTAGACCATCTCCAACTCTACATCAAAATCTGAACAATTTTACACCAAATTTTGCACTAAAATAAAAATATCTCCAATCCATTACACAAAAAGTTACACCAAATGAACAGTATTTAATCATTTTTTTATTTCTTTTGTACTTAAAAAAAAATATATATATATATATATATATTCGATTAACTACTATATAAATTACTACATACATAATTACGTTTCGTTTTTGAAAATATTAAATTATTTAATATTTTTTAAAAATGTAGTACAATTAATAAAAATATCACAACTAAGAAAATATTAAATCATGATATTGAAAACAACGTAATACATTTCGAATCTCGAAATTATGGTACACGAAGTCGACCTAGTGTCTTAATTTAATTATTGGAATTCATATATTAATCCCACAAATGTTGAATTATTAATTACACGATTAAAGTTTATTAGGAGTTACAACTATGCTTGGAAACATTAGGAGTTACAGCTACAACGATTGAAAAATTTGAGAAAAGTTTACAAATGTTTAAAAAATTTGGAGCCTCCATTTCAATTATCTGTTTACAAAATAACTTCATAGATAATGTATATTCACACTTTACACATCCTACTTTTAGCCTCCGTTTGAGCCATATTATTGAAAAAAAGGAGAATTAAAAATATAGTCGTTATGGATCTCACACAAAAGATAAAAAGTTAAATATTGTGATTTAATATGATGGATAACGGTCATATTTTTCATTTTAATAAGGAAATAATGGGCTCAGACGGGGCCTTAATAATAATATGTTACATTCTATATTTCATCAAGTGGTAGAAAAATACACCATTTGCTAATTTTTTTTTTTTTTTTTTTAACAAATATGACAACTAAGAAGGCAAATATGCCCTTGGTCATAAATAATAAATCCATATAAATTAAATTATATACGATATACATACTGTATTTATAATAATTAAGAGATTGACTTTAATAAGTTAATAACGTATTGAAAAATATAGATGAAAAGTTCGTATGATTTTTTTGTCATAGTAAAATGGAAAATTCTTTTCAAATTTTAACAAAAAAGTTTTGTTAGTACACATAAAAATAAAAAATATGAAAAAAAAATATATATATATATATATATATTTGTATTGGTTATCATTTTATAATTTTTTTTTAAAATTCATTTTAAGTTGTATTATTAGCTTTACATCATTCTACAGCCCGAAAATTATTTAGGAGCGTTTGCAAAATTTTCTTGAATTTTATTCTCTTTACTGCAATTAAGCTTTATAGAAAAACTTATATATATTTTAGTAATAAATATATCTATTTTATTTTAAGCATGCAAATGTAGAAAAAAAATGTTAATAATCTAATTAAGAGATTTTACAATATGATAATATATGGAGAGAGATGTGAAAAAGAGACGAAAAAAAAAATTAGATGAAACGGGAATAGCAATTAAAATTCTGAGAAATCATAAAATATTAAAAATGTAAAGAGTTGCATAACTTGAAATTTAGAATGTGATTTGTGACTCTTACACGGGTATTTTGGTATACATAATTATTTATAATGGCACATTTGTAATTTTATAGCATAAAATGTCTTTTGTCATTATTTCAATAAAGAAACGGGGTCCGTTTGATTGCAAACATATAATTGAATTGAATTGAAAATGAATTCCACTTAATTGAATTTCATAGAAATTATTTTTTTGAGAATTGTAAATTATTATATTTGGTTGGTATAATTTTTCATGTAGAAAATGTTGAAATAAAAGTATATTTTACTGTTCGTTTGACTTAATTTTACATGAAAATTGTCAATTAAAATGATAGATTTTACTGTTTGGAGATGAAATTTGTTCCTATTATAAAAAAAAATAAAAAAATTCAAGAAATTCATCTATCTTTTGGTATTCGTTTAACTTTGTTTTACATGAAAATTGCCAATTAAAGGGAATTTTTTTTTTTTTACAATAATTTTTAGAATTTGTTTCCATTGCCAAAAAAAAAAAAAAAAAAAAAAA